CCTTCTCTGGGAAGAAGGGCCATGTCTACTGAGGCGTGCCCTGGCCTTTGGTGAAAGGCCACCAGAGATGCCCCTGGCCCAGAGGGCTGGGCTGTGGCCGGGCAGAGGCAGAGGTGGGTGGGCAGTAAGCACAGGAAAGCCTGGCCTCATTTTTTTCTACTTAGAACCCTCAGGGGCTGCCCCCTGTCCTCAGGGTAAGGACAGCCTTGCCTCCTTGGTTCTGCCTGTCTCTCCCACCTCAGCTTCTGTTCTCACTCTGCGCTCCAGCCTCATGGATCCTCTCTCTATTCCCTGTTCCACATTCCAGTTCCGCTCCCAGCCTTGAGCATCCTGTCCCCTGCACCAGCTCTGCCCTCACCTCCTCACCTTGCTCCCTCCTGCTAACCCCTTGGGTTTCAGCTGAGGCGCTACCTCGCCCAGGAAGCCTTCCTTGACCATCCCGCCCCAGCCCAAGTTGGGTGCTGCTTCTGTGGCTTGCACACGGCCCTCGTCCCCATCCTCAGCATCTCGCGCACCTGTCCTGCCTGTTTGCCCACTGATCCTGCTGTCCCACTGGAGGTGGGCTCCTCAAGGACAGAAGCTGGGTCATGCTCAGCTCCCAGCCTTGGCACATAGATCAGAGTAAATGGCTGCTGGATGCACGAGTGGGGGGGCGATAGGAAGAGAATCGACAGAGGGGAGGCCAGTGGAGCCCACAGGATCCCTGCCCACCAGTAGATCTGCAAGAAGCCAACAGTATCCTCAACCAGAGAGCCCCTGGCTGCCTGGTTTCTGGGGAGCCATGCTGCGGCTTCCGGTCTGCAGAGCCCACCCCCACCCTGTGCCCAAGGAAATCTTGTGGAGGGAGAGGCAGAGGAGGAGCGGGCCTACGGAGGCTCTGCGGGGCGAGGCCTCCTCGCCCTGGTCCCCCTGAGCTCGGAGATGGGGTCCTCACTTCTACCTCCCCGGGACCCCGTGCAGGCAGAGGACGCTGCGCCCTACTGGGCACATGGCACATTGGCCAGTGCAGGGAGGGACGGACCCAGATGCAGACATGGCAACACGGGGGACCCTGAGTGACAAGAAATCACAAACGGCCAGTCGGGCCAGGGGCAGATGGCTGCCCATGAAAAGCCTCATCGCCCCAACCCTGCTAGAACTTTTCCCATCCGTCCTCCCTTGCCCTGCCTCATCCCCATCAGCCCAGAGCTGGGGTCCCTCTGAGACAGGGGGTTCCCTACCTCGGAAAGTCACTTTGGCGATCCTGTCGCCCCTGCCCCGCAGCTCCGAGACCGTCTTGAGGTGGACAAGCAGAGCCATGCTGGTGTGCAGAGCCTGGACGCTGCCGGGCGGGCGGGAGCAGCCGGGAAGGAGTGAGCCTGGCGGAGCTTGGAGCTCGGCTGCCTCCCTCCTCCCGCACCCGCCTCCCTCCTCACCGCGCTGCTGCCTCCGCCCCCCCCACGCCCCCCTCCGATGCTGCCCACAGAGACCCAGGCAACCGAGCCAGCCGAGCTGCTCCTTCCAGCGATTCACAGAGCTTCGCAGCCCTGCCAGCCCCCGCCCCTCCAAGTTGTCAGCCCAGCGTGTGTGGATCTGTGTGTGTGTGTTGTGCACCCTGCCTGCAGCCTGGGCGTACAGGCTCAGAGTCGGAATTCATTATTCAGCAGCCGCCTGCTCCCAGATAAAGCCCTGCCCAGCTTCTCCCGGCCCCTGGAGCAGAAGCTCCTGCCCACCTCTCCACGGGGCTCCTCCACCACAAGTGGGCAGCGGGGCACGGGCACGTGTGTGAAAGGGGGGCGCGTGGGGCAAGGAGCTTCACCATCTGTGCACACAGGAGGCTGGGCTGTTGCACTGGTGTTTTGAGGGGATTCACGCCCCCAGTCAAGGTGGCCACTGGGGCTGCTGGTGGCCACGAGGCTCAGGGAACCTGGATGGGCCAGGCCTGGCTAGGCCCCACAGTGCCACTCAGAAATCCCAACCCAGGCCCCCCCAGCTGGAAAATCAGCATCCACCAGACAACACTAAGGCTGTGCCTGGTAGCTGCTGTCAGAAATGGGAGCCCTGAGATAAAGGGGATGTTACTTCCTCCAGCTGCTCTGGTGGACATTGTACCCCCAGGACGTGGGGTCCTGACCTCCTGCTTTGGGATCCCTGGACCTGGGAAGACGGGATGCTGCTTGAGGGGAGCTCAGAAGCCAGGCTAAGCATGATGGGAGATGGCCAACTGTGAAGGCCTCAGAGGCTAATGTTCTACTAAGGGCAATGCTTAAGGTCCAGGCAGCTAACCTCACCCCATCCTGGGGCCTGGGGATGGAGAAGGCTGGGCCAGTGAGTCTCAAGGGAGCAGAATTGTCAGGCCTTGTGTCCAGTTAGCTGCTGGGGGTGGGGCGTGTGGGGAAGGGAGAGCTGGCAAAATTTCCAAAAAAGAACTGCCCTCTCTTCCAGCAACCTACCCCAGGAGAGGCTTATAACGAAAGGGACCCCGGGCACCAGGATTCCTGAACCTGGAGCCTCTGCAAAAGGCCATCTGCGCCCTTCCTCTTGCTGTTTGCTCTGCAAGGAATGCTCTTACCCACCACCGCCTTCTCGCCGGGACTCAGCCCAACAGGTGCCCAATCCTAAAAGTGCTTCTGCACCCACACCTTCACCCAGGCTGGGTTGGGGTCCTCATCTGTGCTGCCCACGGGTCTCCCCAAGGGGAGACCCTGGTGCCCTGATCTTTGCAGCCCCAGAGCCTCGCACGGACTCCTGGGTATGGTAGGATGCCCACTGAAGGTTAACAGGATAAGGGGTGAGCTTGGTGACGTATCTGGAACAGAGCCTAAAGGTTCAAAAAGGGAAGCATTAAATTTTCACAGCATGCTAACAAGAGGTTAGTCCTTTTGAATTCTACAGTCCAGTGACCTGCAGGATGTCACAGGAGCCTCCTTCTAGACGATTCTTTGCTACATTGCCTTCTTTTTTCTTTTTCTATTTATGTTCTATTTCCTTCTCTCCCTTTCCTTCCTCAATTGCTGCTCTCCTTTCTCACTTTTATTTAACCACAATAAAGCAAAGAGTATTTCAGTCTATTGTATTTATTAAATACAAATGAATATCCAAAAAAAATTTTAAAACCAGATAAGTTGAATGTCTCTTTTTTAAAAAACAAATTAACTAGCATGTTCCATAAATGAGGTCATTAAGTGATCTTTATTAGTAAGGCTTAGTGGCACTTGATGGGAAGAAAAGATCCATCTCCTCCCTAGGCCCTCTCAGGGTTCTCTCCTATAAGGGGTGAATTTCAAGAGGCCTGTGCATCTTTAGGAAAAAGCCCATGAACTTGCCCTAAAGAAAGCATTGAGCTTGGCTGAACCTCAGTTTCTCTATCGATAAAATGGCAGTACTTCCATCCTGCCAACACAGAGCACCCCTTAGCTGAGCCAGCTGACCCTCAGAAACCTAAGCCAGATCTCACTTTTTAAATTTCCACTCTCCCTACTATTACCCATTTCTTTAACTCTTACTACAAAATTTATTCAACAAACGTATACTAACTCCTGCTAGTACCAGGTGCTGGGGACTCAGGGGTGAATGTGATACGGTGTTGGACCCCAAGCACAAGACTCGCTGGAACACAGACAGGTTGAACACAGGGTGCTGGGTTCACAGGTACCCTCAGCTGGGAAGTCGTGATGCGGGAGAGAGTGGGCACTTGACCTTGGCCAGGGGAAGATCTTCCTGGAGTACAGCACACCGGAACTGAGAGTTGTTCTTTTACAGCTTTTACAAATGTTTTTCTTATTATTGCTCATATTCTGCATGGGGAATTTAGAAATACACAGATCTGACTGCAGCTTGAAGGACTGGTGGAGGGTCCTTCTGCCTGGTCTGAAACCACTCATTCCCCGTCAGTTCCTTTTCCTCCCCAGGCCTCAGTTCTCCTGCTTCTTGCATCCCTTGGAAACCCCTGCGCCCCGCGCCCCCCAATCCCATTGTTATTTGTCCATGAAAGCCTTTTGAGAATTCTGGTTCCAAAAGCATCCTGCAAGCTCATTGGTGTCTATGGTCTTCATCAGCTGCCATTTACAGAGTCAACTGTGAAGATAACACTTCTCCTCCCACAGGATTGAATGAAACCGTGAAGGCCAAGGGTAAACGGCAGAGGGTTCTTGCTGATACCAGGAGTGCTGCAAGGGAGCTGGGAGGCAGGTTTGGCTCCAAGATGCAAAGAGCATGTCGCCTTGGAGGCTGTCACGGCTCTCTCGCACCCCAGTTAAAGACCAGGGCTGGGATGAGGGTCACTGGAAAAATGGGATGTGGGGATACCAGTTATAGGAGGGAGGCATTATTACAAGGAAACCTCACCGGGGCCTTGGGCAAGTTTGCTCTCTGGTGCAAACAAGCCAACCCTGTGGACTGAAATTCAGAACTGGCGACAGGTGTAAATCACACACCCAGATCTTTCCTCGGTTTGCTTTTTGCCCCTTACTTATAAACCACTCGTGTGGAGTAGTCTGCCGGGCAAGACTGGGTGAGAAGGAAGTTCCCAGGGAGAGACGAGAGAGTAACGAAGACAATTCCCCTTGAGGAACTGGGGTGCGCGGGCAGACTCGGGGAGCGCTGGCTCCTGGGGTCCCTGTGGCCACTCGGGCTCCTGGAGCAGAGCGGCGATGAGGCTGCCGCTTTCTGCTCGGCCTTCGAAGTGCGCGCGCCCCAGGCCGGGTCCTGCAGCGGACAGAAGCGCACTCAGGGCGCACCCCCCGCCGGGCCTCTCCAGCGAGTTCCCATCTTCATCCCGCATCTGGGCGTCGGCACACGCGGGCCGGCGGTGATGAGCCCGGGCCTGGACGTGGAAGCCGCGCTTGGGTGGGAGCGGCGATTGGCGGGGTCCACAGGAGAGCGCGCTTGAGGAGGGCTGCCCCCTCCGCCACCCCCCCTCCCCCGCCGCCCCGGAACGCGGCGGCCGCTGGGCCCCAGTCACGTTGTCCCGCGCGCGGTTGCCAGGTGACCCCGGGCTGTTTACCGTCGGGCGGGGAGCGCTGGGGCGCCGGGCTCGCTGCGCGCTCGCCGCACCCACCATGGCCTCCCGCAGCGCGGGCACCTTACTGACCGAGTTCAATGCCGCCTACGTGCCCCCCGGCCTCATGCCCGGGTAAGGCCGCCGCGCCCCCAGGCCCCCGCCTGAACCCGTGGGGCGGAGTCCCCGTCTCGCCCGTAGAACGCTCCTCCGGCTCGAATCTTCGTCCCCGCGCCTTTGGGGTTTGAGGGAACCGCGAGCGCCAACGGTTCCTCTGGCTGGGTGGCCTACCCGGGGGCTGGCGCGCTCAGGGCAGGGGGTGGCTGGGCGCGGGCAGGGGCTCTCCAGGACCCCGTTCGTAGAAAGTGGGTCCCCAGCGAGCGCCGTGCACACCCGGCCTGCGGCCCCGGGGAAGGGGGAGGCGCGGGAGCCCCCGCGTGAGGTTGGTGTTTGGAGACGCCTGGGCGGGAGCGAGATCGTGGGGAACCAGAGAAGGGAGCAGGCTTTTCGGGGCCCAGCCCGGTGTGGCGCACCCAGGATTCGCGCAGGAGTCGTACTTGTCGGAAGAAGGACTAAAAGAGACCGGGTGGGCGCCTGGGTGGGTTTCGAAGAATCTGGCACGGAGTGTGCACCGGCCGCCGGACTTTGTGGTCGGTTCTCCCACCGATCTCACCTAATCCTCACAGAATGCTGGCTTTGAAAGCTTCCCAGTCCGCAGATCTGCCTTGCCTGTAGCATTTTCAGATGCAGGGTCAAACCTACCTTTCTTTTCTCTGGCTGGTATCAAGCCCCACACATCTAAGATGCAAGTCTGACGGTCTCTTCCATTCTGTGGCCCCTTCTGTCAAAGTGTCTGAGATTTCCACTCCGAATTTTTTTCCCCAGGGTGTTAAGATTCTCTTTCTCTCCCCCACCAGTCGCCCCGGGCGCGGAGGGCAGGGACTGGATTCTGAGACGCTCCTGATGTCAAGCCAGGTGTGTTAGAAAAGGTGACTTAGGATTTTCCTATTAATTCTTTCCTTCATTTAGGCATTCCTTTGACAAAGACTTGCTGAGCGCTTTGGATGTGCCAGGTTTGTTACAAGACATACAAGCAGGGGCCGCCCTTGATGGGTCCCCATTGCGGTGTCATCACATGAGGCTTAGTTCAAAGCCATCTTGGCAGTCCTGGAGAGTGGTGTTTATACCACATTCTGGGTGTTTATTGTGGGGTTTCATTCTATACATTATATTTTTTTCTTCAGCTCCCCACCATCCCCAGGTGGGACCTAACCCTCCCCAAGTGTCCCCCCCCCACTCTGTCTGGGGCCGGGGAGGGGGGATTGCGTATTTCAGGAGCAATCCTGTGTTGCTCCTCTATCCATGCCCCTCGTCTGCAGCTCCCTCGAGCACCCAGTCCTGGGATTGATGTAGAAATTGTGATAACAAGTGAATCATAAAGAAGCCTCCAAGCGTGAGCTGGACTAGTCTGAATAGCTGAGCCTGTATCTGCAGCTTTTGCCACGGATCTTTCTGGGAGGGATATGCCGTCCCTAAAATCCCCATCGATGAGGAATGAATTGAGTTATCTTTTGTTTCTAAATGCTACCTCATTTTGTTAACTTAATGAAAGAATCCCAGGTTCCCCACCACACCTGGATAATTAATTATAAATATTAATCACAGGATTTTAAGCACAGCCAGTCTCTTCTGACACTCAAATCATCCCCCTTACCAGTTTTATTCTTAGAGGCAGAGAATATTCCCAGTGGTAAGGACTTGGGAGATCTTGTGGCTCAGCCCCCTCCTGTTCCAGATGTGGTCACTGAGGTCTGCCCCGGGGGGAACTTGCTTGAGTTCCAAGCTGGTGATGGACAAGCCGACAGTGTGAGCCCCCCGGTATGAGCACCTACTATGTGCCAGGCGCTGTGCAGGGCTCTTTATACACTTTCTCTCAAAAACCTTTGCAACAACCCAGATGAGAAACGAACAGCTTGCTTGGGGTCATTCAGCAAGTTACCGTGCCACGTCCGTGTGACTTCAGCACACAGGCTCTCTTCAATCCCTCCAATTGTTATCTATTACCATTAGTTAGATCCCTGCTGTGTTCAAGGCCTGATTCTGGGTACCAAGGGAAACAGGATGCTGGGTTTCAGACTCGTTGCCAGGGAGTTCCTCCTGGTTCCTTGCTGCTCTGGGCAACACAGTCCCCAGGCACCTTGCCACTGCCTGGCCTGTGTGCCCACCCTGCAGTGAGCAGGGAATTCTTGGGTCCCAAGTCCCTGGGATTGTAAGGCTTTTCAAGGGATGAGACCAGCCTCAGTGGGGTCTCTGTGCCTCCTGCTTGCAGATCACATCTAAGTGATACCCATCCCCTTGCTCACTGCCTCCCACCACACCTCACCAGGCTCTTCGTCCAAACACTTGACCCGCCACTGTGCCTTCATTCATGGCCGGACCGCTGCTGCCCCTGACGCCCCCAGCTCTGTCTAGGGGCTCTCACCAGGAGCAAGGGCAGGGGGACTTGCCCCCGTCACTTCCCTCTGTCTGCCTGGAGTGGCAGCTGGGCCCCTATCTGCTGCTGAGCTGGGCTTGAGCCTTAGGGGCCACAAGACCCTAAAATCAGTGCATTCCACTATCAAGAGGACATTCTCAAGAAGGTGGCCGCACAGAGGTGACTGTGTCCCCTTCCCCGAATCCCTAGACAACCAGCTCTCTGGAGGGAAAAAGCCTTGATTTGCAGCATTTATCTCCTATCTGCCGTGGCTGATTTCAAGCTAGCAGCACAGTGTCACAGTGCAGAGCTGGGAAGAGATGCATAGCAGCACATGTATCCGATCATTCCACCCTACACATGCAAGAGACATAACTAAACTCCAGAACACGGACGGCGGTGAAACATAGTGACATAATCAGGGAGTGATCAGTTTTGAGGGTTTATCACCTTTGTTTTCAATATAATTTCTTGGGATCAGTTAAGTGTCTGACTCTTGATCTCAGCTCAGGTCTTGATCTCAGGGTTGTGAGTTCAAGCCCCCAGGATGGGCTCCACGTGGGGCCTACTTAAAAAAAAAAAAAAGAAAGAAAGAAAAAAAAAGAAACAATATAATTTCTTTAATTGTGACTTTATATAATTTAATTTTTTTTACAATTAAATTTTAATACTGGCTTGTTTAACAACAGCTTGAAAAAAATCCTGGAACTTTAGTAATCAGCTCCCTTCACCCAGTAGGAGCCAGTACCCACCACCTCTAGCACACCCCTGGCTCCTGCCAGCTGCTGCAGGCCTGAGACCTCACCGGGCCAGGCTGGGACAGGGGGCCCCTTTCCATTTCAGCCCAGGCCTTGGCGTTGCAGGTGCAGCCCCGAAGACAGCCTGTGCATCCTCGGCTACAAAACAAAGGCCACATGCCAAAGGGATGTAGGAGACTCCATGTGCCCAGATAGGCAACAGATACCTCTCATACAACCCGGAAGAACTGGGGAGCCTTCCAAGAACAGGGGGCTAGGGGCCCCTGGAGACCTAGGCTTTATAACAGGGACCCTCCTTCTTTCCAGAAGAATCGTCAGCCCTTAAAAATGTGCCTCCACTTGTCAGTTCATTTCAACAAATATGTACAGAGCATCTCCTGAGGGCCAGGAGTGCCAGGATGCAGACAGGAGGAGAACACCTCCCTCTCTCCCCATGGAGTTTATACTTCAGAAAGAAAGACTAGACTAAAGGCCCAGGTAATTGCAATATAGCCAGAATGTGAACTGGGACAGAAGAGAGTCACAAAGGGGGGCTCCTGCCTGGCTCAGTTGGAAGAGCATGGCGACTCTTGGTTTGGGGGTCATGAGTTCGAGCCCCACATTGGGTGTAGAGATGACTTAAATAAATAAAAACTTAAATAAAAAAAGAGTCACAAAGGGCACAGACAGTTCAATGGAGAGAACAAGCATGGTCTGTGGGTGGCTCCATGGAAAAGGTCTTGGAAATGGACCTTGAGGGATGGCTAAGGTCCCAGGGCAGGGAGAGGAGGAGAGGAGTGACTTCGGGATGGAGCGGTTGGCCCGAGGAGAGCCAGGGGTGAAGGTGCTGGCCGGATATGCCTCCAGAGCAACAAAAGCCTGTTTAGCTGGAGTGGAAAAGCTGCAACAAGGAAGTGGATGAGAAGGCTGGGAAGACCTCTCGCAGGGGCCCACGTCAAGCAGGTCCTTGAGTGTCTAGCCCGTTTGTACTTAATTTCCTAGACAATGGGGAGCCTTTGAAAGTTTGTGCCTAGAGGAAGGATCTGCTGGCCCTGTACTCAGCAGGAAGTGTTATGGAGAAGGTGCGCGTGGAATGAGGATGTGCTGAATAGTCACAAGTTAATTAGTTAATAAGGCTGCTCATGGGATCTCTGGTGGCATGGTAATTAATTTTAATGTCAGGTCTAGGGCCAACCAGGGCCATCAAGAGGCAGGGAGGGATTGCTCCCTGTATGCACAGGAATACACACAGGATCGTTGCCGGAGGGACCCAGCTGAGCACAGTCTCCCAGCTCGCGTGCAGGTGGCTGAGGAGGGGGTCAAGGAGGAGGTGTGGCAGCACCAAAGGGACTGTTGGATGCCCAGTTATGAAACCTGCCATTCCTGCCATTCCCCTCGGTTCTTTCCACCACGGCCGGCCACACGACCAACAACAGGCCTTTGGAACCACGCAGGGTCGCCCTCAAGGCACACAACTGCAAGTGCAGGCAGGGGACACAGACCTGGCTAGCGGAGGCATGCCCTCTGAGTGCTACAGGAATGTGAAAGTGCGCACATATGTGTGCACCCCTGCGCCCCTCCCCGAGCAGCAAACTCTGAACAGGATCAGGAATCCAACCTTAGGAGGATTGCGGAGGAGAGGTCTTCTATTCTATTGGGATGCAAATATCTTGGCATTCAGAGAAGGTGGAAAATCGGGGAGCAGAGGAGGAGTATGGCAGAGAGCCTGGGGGTGGTGAAGACAAGAATCACAGGAACACGTCACATTTCTATAGCTCCTTTCTTCCGAGGAGCGCCAAGTCCCCTGTGGGTGGGACGCTGTGTGCCTGGGTGCGCTCTGCAGATCAGAGCCAAGCCCCTTGAAAGCAGTGTTCTGGAACATGGTGCCCCCCCGGGTTTCGGGACTTCTGCCCCCTCCAGCGGAC